AATAAGAAGTGTTAGTGAGGATGTGGAGAAAAGAGAACCCTTCTACATTGTTGGTGGGTATGTAAATTGGTATAGCCACTGTGGAAAGCAATATGGAAGTTCCTCAAAAAATTAAAAATAGAAATAACAAACAACCCAGTAATTCCACTTCTAGGAATTTACCTGAAGAAAACAAAATCTCTAATTCAAAGAGATACATGCACCCCTATGTTTATTGCCACCTTATTTACAAGTCAAGATATGGAAGCAACCAGAATGTCTATCAGTAGCTGAACAGATAAAGAAGAGGTGGTACATATACACAATGGAATATTATTCAGCCATAAAAGAGAAAGAAATCCTGCCATTTGAAACAACATGATGCACCTAGAGGATACTGTGTTAAGTGAAATAAGCCAGGTGGAGAAAGACAAATACTATTTGATTTCACTTATTTGTGGAATCTAAAAACAAAACAAAATAAACGAATAAAATAGCAGTAGACCCATAGATACTGAGAAGAGACTGGTGGTTATCAAAGGGGAGGAGTAGAGGTGAGTGGATGTGGAGGGGGAGGGGGATAATGGGGCACAAAAATTCTCCATCATAATATAAGTTGGTCACAGGGATGATATATATACATATATGCTATATATATATATATACACACACTATATATATATACACATATATACTATACTTGAATTAAATTCAAGTACATATACACTATACTTGAATTTTAAAAAAAAAGATCTTTGAAGGCCAAGTAAGTAAATAGATAAATGAAGGATTAACAAACATACATGAATCTGGAAGGTCCCCTAAAATAAACATTACAACTTATGGTTCAGGATGATGTCAGCAAAAATGGCAGAGTATGGACTCCAAAAAAAATCCCTCATTAAAATCAATGAAAAACCTGGTAAAAATTGTGAGAATCAACTTTATTAGAACTCTGGAAATTACCCAAAGGCTTGCAGCAATTCAGGGAGTATTAACCTAAGAAAATGACTGAATGCTGGTAAGCACAGCAAGTTTAATATATTTACCTTGCCCTATTCCCATTCCTCGCTGTAAAGTTCCACAGTAGTCTTGAAAACCAACAGCTTAAAAATACAGTGCAAAGCAGCAGCCCAGCAACCCCAGAGGGGCAGAACAGGATTGAAACTCCTTCAAAACCTCAGTTCTAATGAATCCTCATTATTTCATCTGGCTGGCAGTTCCCTAGAAGATCCCACTTGCAACACTGTCTTTATCTGGCCTGCCTTGGAGCTCACCCAATGGAAAAATCTTTCCCCCATTGGTGTTGGTTGATAATCTTTAAAGATAACTTTTTAATTTTGAAGCTACCTGAAGCAATAGACTGCAGTTGAGACAAATAACAAGCAAACCAAAAAGATTAAATGAAGAGCTAGGGACTGAGATGTCCTAGGGGCTTTGAAGAAGTCCAAAGTATTCCTGGGAATTTAGAAGTCATGCACTTCTGTGGGGCTGAGCAAATGCCCAGGGCTTTATTCAGGCCAAGGAAAGACCCGAGAAGGCTCTAGGATCTGAACTATGGCTGACCTTGGGAAGTGAAAGCAGAATTATCAACTGCCTGGCGAAGAACTGAGGCTTCCCCAACACGTAGAGTCCCCTTGGCAAAGATGGGATGCCTACTGTCTCCTAGAGTATAGAAATTTTTCAAGTATTAAGCTAACCACTAAACTAATCAAGCAGAGACATAAGTGTCCACACATGAGAAAGAATATAAACTTTACAGACTTAATTAAGAAAAGTCACTAAACAAACAAACAAGAACAATAAGAAGCAATAACAAGCCCCACCGAGAAAGAATCTGCTTTCCAGAGTTATATATCCATGAAAATTATATGGACTACATACCATATTACTTAAAATGTCCACTTTTTAACAAAATATTATAAGACATGCAACAAAGACTATGAAATAAAACATGAAATGAGAAAATATAGACCATACACAGTGGGGAAAAGCAATCAATAGAAACTATCTCTGAAGAAATCTAGATGTTTGACTTACTTAAAAAAAGAGACTTTAAATAAGATGTTTTAAGTAAATATATCATGTCTAAAGAACAAAATAGAGACTACTGATACAGAGAGAAATTATAAATAACAAAGCTTAGAACAAATAAAATACAGAATAGAAAACCAATCGAAAAAAATAAAACAAAATCAACAAAACCCAAAAGCTAACTCTTTGAAAACAGAACTGACAATCCTTTAGCTACACTGACCAAGAAAAAAAGAAAGAACACAAATTACTAAAATCAAGAATAAAGGAGATGCTTTCCTAGTGACCTGACAGAAATAAAAAAGATTATGGGCAATACTATGAACAATTATATGTCAGCAAGTTAAATACCCTCTATGAAATGACAAATTCCTAAAAAAGACACAATACAAAACTGACTCAAGAAAAAGTAGATGGTGCTCACTTCAGCAGGACATGTACTAAAATTGGAATGATAAGATTAGCATGGCTCCTGAGCAAGGATTACCCTCAAATTTGTGAAGTGGTCTGTTTTGTTTGGGGATATAATGTATAGCATGGTGACTGTAGTTAATAATAATACAGTATTGTATATTTGGACATTACAGAGAGAGTAGATCAAGAAAAAAAATTGTAACTGTGTAAGATGATGGATGTTAACTTACTGTGGTAATCATTTCACAATATACACAGATATCAAATCATTATGTTATACCTAAAATGAATACAATGTTATATGTCAGTTATATTTTCAATACAAAAAAGAAGAAATAGATTATCTGAATCGACTTGTAACAAGTGGAGAGACTGAATTAATCAAAAAACTCACAAAGAAAATCTCTGGACCAGATCACTGCTGAATTGTACCATATGGTTAAAGAAGAATTAAAATTCGTCTTTCACAAACTCTTCCAAAAAATAGAAGAGAAGGCAATGCTTCTGAAATCATTCCATAAAGCGATAATTATCCTTATACCAATAACAAAGACACTACAAGAAAACCACAAATCAATATCCCTTATTAATTTACATGTGAAGTTCCTCAGCAAAATACTAGCAAATTGAATTCAGCAACATACAAAAATTCTATGTGATATGGATATAAACATATATGTGTTGTATGGACATTTTATATCCTGAAAATTATATGGACTACATACCATTACTAAGTAGAATTTAAACCAGGAATGCAAGAGTTGTTCAAATAGCTGAAAATTAATTAATACAAAACATCATAATATAAAACATGCTAAGTGAAAGAAGACAGACAGAACTACCAACTATTCAACAGCAGCTTTTACCCTAACATTTGTTTTAAAGCATTGGGCAAAGTGCCTGGGATGGGCTCTAGTGGTGAATGTTGAAGCTAGAGAGATGCAGAGCTAGAAGGTCACTTCTAAGAAGGTCCTTCTCCAAGAAGGAAATGGTGATTCAGTGATAGAGAAGAGCATAAGAATAAGAGAACTGCCGTGCTGAGTCAGATTCGTGTTCCATGCGCTTTAATGTTCTTTCTTTGACAGGATCCTTTGTATGGGCACAGGATATCTTCACTGAGATCAGCCTCCAAAGACCTGTGGTTTCCTCTCATGATATCTAGATTCCTGAGCTGCTACTATATCATATGCATGAATTGATCTGAATGGTTTATCTGTAAGTATGGCAAAAAAAGTTTGATACTTTTTAGAAGTTGTTTTCAGTTCTACAAGAGTCTTATGAACTGAAAACACTGATACAGTATAGCTATTATACTGGTACCACTATTTGAAAGAACGTTTTTCTGTCAGAGGAGAACAATGGATTCCAAAAATAAAACAGAATATAGCAAAAGAGAAAAGGTTTTGTCTTTCTCCATTAGAATGCTGTTCAAGTATTCAAAATTTAAACATTGTAGAAATTAAGATTAATTTAGCACTTCTATTGTGGCCTGTGAGTCGAGACAGGCTCCCCACATTATCCCCACGATCCCTCTATCTATCTTAGGATTTTCTAAAGACCAGGACAGGAGAAGACTCTAGTAGGGAAATGGCAAAGGTACAGACAAATGGGCAAATTTATACCCTTTGATCATTTGTAAACATGCAAGCTTGTACATTTCCACTAGGTTTGTAGGTGTAAGCTCCATAAAAGCTAGTAGTCTTCTCTTATATTCATCAATGTATCTCCAGAATCTAACTTGTTAGCATTATTGGTATTCAGGGATTCTAATCCTTATCATTTCTATATGACCTAGCATCAGCTGATTTGCAGAAAATAAAATATTTTTAATTATCATGAAGGGGAGGGGGAATAACTTAATGGGCATCATAGAGTAATTTATTATTCTTTTTATATCAGAATACATAATCTGACATTAAAGTTATTTAAAAGAATCTATTTCTATATAGGTCAAATTATGCTAACAAACATGTACTTGAACCCTCTCCAATTAAGCTGATTTCTGCTTTTTAAAACAAAAAATAACTGAAGAGTCCCAAGTCTGAACTAAAAAGTGCACAGCAATTATCCTACGTGCATTTCTAATCCCCCAAAATCTCTAACAACTGTAACTTTTAAAATAATTCCTTTGATGGCAAAACCTTACTGACATCCAGACCCCACTAGCACTGTTATGTAATATATGGAATAATATGCACATATTTCTTTTTATAAATTCTGGAAAATCATGAATTCCAGAACTATAGACTTGTAGCTCCACTGAGATGAGGTGTCAAGACATCTGAGGAAAAAACTTGCACATATATTTTTATGTTTAAGTAGCAAAGTCAAACAAATTATTTCATGATTTGGAAAGTAAGGGGATTAGACTAGATGGCCTTTAAAATCCTTGACTGTAGTTAAATTCTAGGATTCCACTGAATCAATTTATATCCTGAAACACGTAACACATTGTGTTAAATTTTAGATTATGTTGCATTTCTATAAAATTATGGGCATCTAGTTTTGCCTACACCACAAGACAAGCACGCATTATTAGTTGTCTCTTCAATTATATAATTCAGGTTTAGTACCTGCTGCGCCAAACACAGACGATATGCCTTCCATAATGGTCTTGTGGATATTGGGATGAGAGAGGACAAATGTAAATGTCCAAAAGGCAACCTTAAAAAGAAAAATATGTATCAAACAATATCACCTTATTTGAACGTGAGAAAAAAGCATACTTAATGTTAGCTGTAAATATTTCAAAGAAGGAAAGAAAATTTAAATTTAAAAGTATGTTAGTAAAGAGCATCTTTGGAAACAACTAGATTTTATGAATAAAAGAGATGTTGTATATCCCTAAGAATAATTTTATTCTGTCACTATAGTTAAACTATATTGTTTATACAGATTAAACAATCTTCACTAAAAAAATGCTGGGTGTTTTTATTAATATACAATATAAAATATTATATAGGCATATATTAAATATTCAGAAACTATAAATTATGACACTTCAAGAATATTAATCCAAAACAAAACAATTTTTCAAGATTTAATTTCCTTGAAAGAAAAATGATTTAGCAAAAAATATATTCTGCAAATGAATCATGGTAATTTTAAATAAAACCAGGAAACTATATTTAAAATGTCATAAATTAAATTATGTGAGTTCTCAGTAACAGTAATAGGGCCCTTTCACATCTCAATGTTATTGTACACAACATGCTTGCAAGGTCCCTCTTTAGACTAAATGAAATTATTTCATATTTTGTTGTGGTATTATAAAATTATCCCACTATACATGTCAAAAAAATATCTTGCGACTAAGTCAGGTAGATGTTTTTGCTTCTGTTTTCAAGTTATGCAATAAAGGACACCTGTATAAACACATTAAAAGAAACTTGGGGTTCCCTTTCATTTTTTTTCTCTAAACATGTACTGTGAAAGATATTTCAACTAGAAAAATCTGTCCTGAAATACTCAGACATACTTAATTACTTTAAAACACCTAAGTGTTTTCATCTTTTTTAAGGTTAACCTTTAAGTACCTTTAGATAGTCCCAATCCGCCCCTCTGTGGTCAAAGGAGGAATAGCAATTGTCTGAAAGAGGACGTGCTCCACTAAGCCAAATTCAATATAGCTCATTGTTTTTCCCCTTTATGACATGAAAACTGATAATGCAAGGATAAATATTACATTGTTTACATAAACAAAGTGAGCTGGTGAGCCAAGGTCACTACAACCGGGGAATCTCCTTCTGTGGAGTTACTGGATTATAAAGACTTACCCTAGAGATCATGTAATTCATTTTTCACAGTAGAAGCAACCTGCTCAAAGCTCTCTTCTCCTGTCTTCCTGCCCAGGCCCTTCCTACTATTAGGTATAGGTGGAAGTTCTAATTATTTGATTTAATTAATGACCACTCCTTACTCAATTTACCTTATTTATAGAGTCTGAGTTCATGTGGGCAAAAAAAAACAGCTTCATACACAGATTTTCAGTTACACAAAAGAGGATTTTGGAATTTTATTTATTAGTGCTTAGAATTTTGGAGATTCACTAGAATTAATACTTATTTTTATGACAAACACAAGGAATTCAGCTAAACTATAAATGGTGTTAGTTACCATTTTTAAATTTGGTAAAAAAGTTTTTAAGAATAAACTTCATGCAAGAACAAAGAGTAAATAAGAAGTGTATGTGTGTGTGCATGTGTGTGTGTGTGTGTATTACTGAATCAACAAACAAGAAGAAGTGACCTTGAGGTGTTTGTGTACTCACAGTCAAAAATCGCTCCCCAAAGAACCAATTAGTATCTTGCCAAAGGGGGTCAAGTCCATGGTGAGGACAGCAAAAAGGAGAAGGGCTACCCGGCTCACTGGCCTTCAGAAGCAGACACTAGAATGCCTTTCCATTGTTTTGGAAGGTAAGAGCAAAGGGAAGAAGGGAGAAGGAGAGAAGTTCTTCCCTGCTGTGTCTGAGAGAACATGAATTGACTTGAATTAATATGAATTCTTCAGCATCACTTGTTCATCCATTCAAAAAAAGATTTAACAAGTATTGATGGAGTTTTATAATATGTCAGATAGTCTTCTACAAATCCTGATAAACATGGATATGCATAGGTTCCTGCCCAAGGAACTTCACGTCTGGTTGGGGACATGAGATACACACAGGAGAAAACACAGCTAAAATGCACAGGCAACAGATGAGATGGTACAGACAAAACCTGCTGTGGGAGCAGAGGGCGGGATGGTGCAGTGGTTGGGTAGTGGTCACTACTGAAAGTATTTAGAGCTTCAGGGAAGTGATAAAAAAAGGTAGAATGTCACCGTTGAGATTAGCTTTTGAAAAAATGTTTTTAAAAAGTTCATTGGGCAGTCACAAATTTCTTAGAACTTGGAAGTGGTTTTCGCACAAAAATAATTTCATAAATTAGGGTTTACCCCTTGGGCCAGCCCACCAAAGTTCACCTAGACCATCATGGAGCCTCCTAGTGGCCTGTCCCAAGCCAACCTGAAGCCTGCGTTTTGAATTCCACGGCCTTGGGGCACAGAGCACAGTAGGAGAGAAGGTAAGAATGCTCTCTAGGCACCAAGTAAGGGCAGGACCAGGACCCACACATCAGGCACCGCTTTCCGCAGGTCTACAGGCAGCAGGAGGAGATCACGGAAGCCGGAACATCTCCCTGCAGGAGGTCACTGTGGCCAATCCCTCCCTGGGGTATTTGAGAGGGCCAGTTTTGGAAGCCAGAGCAGTTCATTACTGAAGGACCATTGAAAGTAATGATTGACTGAAACTGTGGTTTTACTTTTTATATGAGAAAAAAGCTAACATTTATTGACCACCTACTTTGTGCCAGACTGTTAGCCACTTCCCATTTCTTAAAAATACAGTATTCCCAAGTATCCTGTGAAGTAGATAACATTAATTCTACTTTAAAGATGAGGCCACTGAGGCTCAGAGAGGTTAAACAATTGGCCCACTCTCACCCAGTGTTGGGATTTGCCTTTGGACCTGATTCTAATGCCTTTGCGAGGTCACTATCTGAACACGAGCTGCTTCTTGGAGGTGCCGAAAAGCACCAGCAAGATGGAACTTTCATCAGACATTTTCTTTCTGAAATTAATTATTTAAATCCTTTCAGACCAGTGCCAGGAACAAATTCCAAAGAACTGACTTCCCCTGTGTTAGATCAATGGGGCTTTGTGTCTCTTTCTTCCACAGGACCTTTCTAATGAGATCTGGAAAATTAATCCTGTGACTGGAGTGACTTTTTTTTTTTTCCTGCTTTAGGAGTTGTTTTGATGTTTGCTTTTTAATTTTGCTTTAGCTCAATCAGTTTCCAAGAAAACTAAAAAAGGAAAAAGCACAGGATAATATTGGAAGTACATAAAGAAGGGGAAAGGGTTATACTAATTTTACTTGCCCATGCAGATAAAATACATATTCTAGTGACTGACACACACTTGAGCATAAAGGCCAGAATTTCTCTTTCTTCTCTTTACCCAGTAAGTTTTACAACAGGTTAAAGAAAACTAGAATATTAGTACTTAGAAAGCCTTCCACAATCTTCATAAGAAGAAGAAATAAGTAATTCTTAAACACATTATTTCTTTTTGTTAGGAGAAAAAAAATGACCACACTTATTAGAGATGGGTGGGTGTTCCTGTTTAGCAAAAAACAAGTAAACAAAAAAGGTTACCCCTTAATTTCTCAAGTTATGTAAGTACAGTTTAAGTTACTGTGAAGTCCTCCTGACACAGGAAACTGGTATGCATCGGACAGGAAGTGGCAGATAAATGTCATGGCTTTCATCTAGTTCATGGTTTTAAAAAGAAACAGTCAAAAAGTCTCTGCTCTCTTTAGAAGGACTGCAACTTACCTGCTCCATTCGTGGGAAGCTTACAGGACCAAGAGGCCAAGTAATGCAAACAGGAGTGGAGCACAGGAGGAGAGTGGGGACACAGGATACTGGGAACTGTTAGGGTACCGACTGAATCCTTACAACCACCTTGTAGAGAAGTTAGTTACTACTTATTAGGTACCCAAGTCCATCCTAGGGGTTTTATCATCCCTTTTTATACCTTTCACCGATTAGGAAATGGAGGCTTAGAGAGTTTAAATTACTTCCGTAAGATTCTATATAACTATGGCTGGGAATAGCTCGATTGAAGCCCAGTTCTATCTGAAACTGTTTACCTACTCTCTCCCCAGTAGAAGGCTGGGGTCAAGACTTAATTCCTCTTTGCAGGACGTATACTAAGCATGTTGCCTGACACAGAAGGTGCTCCACAGGCAGGTGTCACAACTGACCGCAAAGGCTTAGTTTTCCCTTAGCCTGTTACAATTTCCCTTTCAGAGGGCAGAATTCACTTCACATCTCTGCCTTGTCTCCATGATCTTACCAGATTTCATTAGGTGTTCAGTTTTGTTTTTCTATCTCACACCAAGTCCATTGCATTTTTCCCCATAATAAGAAGGGGGTAAAAAAGAAAAAGGGGAAATTAAAAATGCAATTGAGAGAAATGTAACCCTCATTTCACTTAAATATACTTACAGACACAGCATTGGTGAGAGAAGCCCAAAGTAGTAACAGCCCATATTTGGGACCATTCTGTTTATCTGACTCCATCTCTATGATATCCAGCAGAGCCTGCATTAATGTCTGTTTAAAAGAAATAAATATTGTTCAAACTACAGCTATGTGACAAAGACTGATCTAAAAAAATGAAGACTAAACAATTTTCTTTAATCTGAAAGATACTATTCCCACCATTCCTAGGTGTGCAGTTTGAAACATGCTAAGCAATTTACATACTTACTGAGTAAAGTAATTAGGAATAGGGACTTTTGATTTTGTTCATCAGAGTTTTTCAGTTTTCCTCATATAGATATTATATATATTTTGTTAAATTTACATCTAAATATTTAATTTTAGGAAATGGTATTGCGTTTTTAATTTCATATTCCACTTGTTCATTGTTGGCACACAGAAAGCAATTAACCTTTGTATATGAACTTGGTCCTGCAATCTTGCTATAATCACTTATTACTTCCAGTTGTTTCTTTTGTCAATCCTTCTGGACTTTCTATTTTTATGATCATGACATCTGTGAACAAAGACAGTTTTATATCTTTCTTCTCAATCTGTGTAACTTTTATTTCCTTTTCTTGCCATACTGCATTAGCAAGGTCTTCCAGTACTTGTTGAAAAAGGGTGATGAGAGGGGAATTCCTGCTAAATGGGGTCCAGTACTGATTTCCATACACCAAAAAATAATGCTTGAGACACCTTCTGGGTGTCCTATAATTCAACTCAATTCAACTCAACTCTGACATTACCCAGAGGTAGCATCAAATTCTACAGGTTAAAGGTTCAGTCCTACAAGATTGCCTCTCCCTACTACCCTGCTTTAGGCACCAGTCGCAAACCCAGGCTTACCTGTGCTTCTGACTGACTGGCTATGGATTGCAGATTCCAACTACCCCATCTTTGGACTTCACAAGAGTCACAAGTCCAGGTTGTCTTCTGTGCTCTGACCAACTAGCTATATGAATCAGAGGTTCTCACAATCCCTTCCTTAGGTTAGATTTTTCTAGAGCATCTCACAGAACTCAGAGAAACATTTTATTTACTGGATTATCAGTTTATTATAAGAGGATATGAAAAAAGATACAGGTGAATGTCTGGATGGAACGGATGTGTAGGGCAAGGTATGGAGGAAGGGTGTGGAGCTTCCATGCATTCTCCAAGTGCACTACTCCATCCAAATCTCTACAAGTTCACCAACTCAGAAGCTCTACAAACCTTGTACTTTGGGGTTTTTATAAAGGATTCATTACATAGGCATGATGGATTAAATCATTAGCCACTGATGATTGATTCAGGCTCCAGCCCTTTTCTCCTCCTCATAGGCTAGAAGGTTTAGTTCTAACTAATCACATGATTGGTTCCTCTGGCAACTGACCTTTCATCCTTAGACAACCCAGGGGCATTCCAAAAGTTGCCTCATTAATGTAACAAAAGACACACAGCTCTCAACACTTAAGAAATTCTAAGGGTTTTAGTAGCTCAGTGCCAGAAATGGGGACTAAGACCAAATATGTATTTATAATTATAAATCACAATGTCACACCTGCCTTGTACCAAATCATACTGGGAAAGTTTCATTTCTTCACCATTAAGTATGGTATTAGCTGTGAGATTTTAGTAGATGATCTTTATCAAATTGAGTTTTTATTCCTAGTTTACTAGAAGCTTTTACCTTGAATGGATAAATATTAGATTTTTATCAGATGTTTTTTCTGCATCTATTGATAATACCATGTGATTTTTCTTTTTTTAGTTTGTTATTGTGATGGATTACATCAATTGATTTTTGAATGTTGAGTCAATCTTCTATACCTGGGATGAATCCCGTATGTTCAGAGTGTATTTTTTTTTATACTTTTTTGAATGTGATTTATAAATATTTTGTTCAAAATTTTTCATCTATGTGTATGAGAGAGATTGAACTGTAGTTTTTTCTTATAATGTCTTTGTCTGGTATTGGTATTATGGTAATGCTGGCCTCATTGAATGAGTTAGGTAGTATTCCCTCTGCTTCTATCCTCTGAAAGAGATTGTGAAGAATTGGTAAAAACTTTTCCTTAAATGTTTGGTGGAATTCATCAGTGAACCTACCTGGTTCTGGTTCTTTCAGTTTTGGAAAATTATTATTGATTCTATTTCCTTAGTAGATTCGGACCGGACCTACTCAGATCATCTATTTCTTTTTGTGTGAGTTTTGGCAGATCATGTCTTTCAAGGGGTGGTCCATTTTATTTAGATTATCAAATCTGTGGGCACAGAGTTTTTCAAAGTATTCCTTTATTATCCTTTGAATTTCCATGGGATCTGTAATGATGTCCTCCCATTTCATTTCTGATATTAATAATTTGTGTTGTCTCTCTTTTTTTCTTACTTAGCCTGGCTAGAGGCTTACTGATTTTATTGATCTTTTCAAAGAACCAGCTTTTTATTTCATTGATTTTTTCTATTGATTTCCTGTTTTCAATTTCATTGGTTTCTTTTCTAGTTCTTATTTTTTTCTTGTTCTTTCTTTGAGTTTACTTTGCTCTTCTTTTTCAGTTTCTTAAAGTGGAAACTTAGATTATTGATTTTAGATCTCTTTCTTGCTAACATATGCAATCAATGCTATAAATTTCCTCCCAAGCACTGCTTTCACTACCTCCCATAAATTTTAATGTGTTCATTTTCATGTGCTTCAAAATATTTTTAATTTCTCTTGACAGTCCTTCTTTGACCCAAGTGTTGTTTAATTTCCACATATCTTGGGATTTTCCAGTTGTGTTTCTGCTTCTGATTTCTAGTTTTAATTCCATTGTGGTCTGAAAGCAGACATTATAGGACTTCTATAATTTTAAATTTGCTAATGCATGTTTAATGGCCCAGAATGTGGTCTACACTGGTGAATGTTCCATATGAGTTTGAAAAAAATGCTGTTATTGAAGTAGTCTATACAAGCCAATTATATCCAGTTGATTGACGGTGTTGAGTCCAACCATGACCTTACTGATTTTCTGCCTACTGCATGTGTCCATTTCTGAGAAAAGGTTGTGAAAGACTCCAATTATGATTGTGGATTCTTTTATTACCGGGATGTTCTATCAGTTTTTGCCTCATGAAGTTTGAAACTAAGTTGCCAGACACATACACATTAAGAAATTTTATGTCTTTGTGGAGGACTGATCACTTTGTCACTATGTAATGCCCTTCTTTATTGCTCACAGCTCTCCTTTCTTTGAAGTCTGCTCAGTCTGAAAGTAATATAGTTATTCCTGCTTTCTTTTGTCTAGTGTTAGCATAATACATTTTTCTACATCCATTTACTTTTAACTTATAGTGCCTTTATTCTTAAAGTGGTTTTATTGTAGACAACATATAGTTGGGTCATGTTTTTGATCCATTCTGCAATCTCTGTCTTTTAATTGGTAAGAGATTATTGATGTAGTTGGATAGTATCTACCACATTTGTTACTTTTTGTATTTGTTCTTTGTTCCTACTTCTGTCTTCCAGTCTTTTTCTGCCTTTTATGGTTCTAACTGAGCATTTTATATGATTCCATTTTCTTTTCTTTCTTAGCATATCAGTTAGAGCTTTTTAAATTTTATTGGTGGTTGCCCCAGAGTTTGCAATACCCATTTCCAACTAATTCAAGTCCATTTTTAATTAATACTCTACCACTTCATGGGTAGTATGAGTACTTCACAATAACAAAATAAATTGTAATTCCTCCTCCTGTTCCTGTATCATTGCTATCACTCAATGCACCCATATGTACACATAAGTATATATATATAAGATATATACATAAGCATACATAATTGAAAATATTGTTGCTATTATTTGAACAACTGTTACCTGTTAGATCAATTAGGAATAAGAAAAATAAATTCCTATTTCACCTTATTTCTTTTTTTGATGCTCTTCTTTTCTTTATGTAGATCTGAGTTTCAGACCTATATTATTTTCCTTCTCTCTGAAGGACTCCTTTTAACATTTCTTGTAAGGCAGTTCTATAGCAACAAATTCCCTCAATTTTTGATTGTCTGACAAAACTTTTATTTCTCTTTTGGTTTTGAAGGATAATCTCACAGGGTGCAGAATTCTAAGTGGGTGGTATATTTCTCTCAACACTTTAAGTATTTCTTTCCACTCTCACTGCTTGCATGACTTCTTAGGAAAAATTAGGTATAAGTCTTACCTTTGTTCCTCTACAGGTATGATGTTTTCTTTTCTAGCTTCTTTCAGGATTTTTTCTTTTTTACTTTCTGTAATTTAAAACTGTAATTTCTGATATGCTGAGGTGCAGTTTTTTCATATTTACCTGGTTGGTGTTCTCTGAGTTTTCTGGATCTTTGGTTTGGTGTCTAACGTTGATTTGGGGGAATTCTCAATCATTGTTATGTAAAACATTTCTTCTGTTCCTTTTTCTCTTTCTTCTCCTCCTGGTGTTCCCATTCCATATATGTCACACAGTTTGTAGTTGTCCTTGGGTATTCTGTTCTTTTTTTTGTCTTTTTTCCTCTTCATTTTTCAGTTCTCAAGGATTTAATTGATACATCATCTAGCACAGAGATTCCTTCCTCAGCTGTGTCCAGGCTACTAATAAGGCCATCAAGGGTATTCTTTATTTCTTCATTTCTGTTACAATGTCTTTTATCTCTAGCATTTCATTTTGGTTCTTTCTAAGGATTTCTACCTCTCTGCTTGCATTGACTATCTGTTCTTGCATGCTGTCTACTTTATCCATTAGAGCCCTTAGCATATCAGTCATAGTTCTTTTAAAGTCTCAGTCTGATAATGCCTGATAAGTCCCTGCTATGCCTGTTTCTGATGTTCGCTCCACCTCTTCAAATTCTATTTTTTGCCTTTTGGTGTAAAAGGATTGCTGGGTAAAAGGGATTGCTGTCAACAGGCCTTTAGAAATGTGGTGGTGAGGTGTGGGAAGGAGGGGAAGTGTTCTATGGTCCTATGATTAGGTCTCAAGTCTTTTAGTGAGTCTGTGCCTCTGGACTGTGAACTTGACAAGTATTTCTCAGTTTTTTTCTACCTACTTTCTCTCAGACATTTTCTGCATCAGCGGATTTCCCCCAGATTT